GTTGTATTAACCATGAATTTCATTGTGATAAATATACCTTTACCTCATGTAAGAAGTCATGGAAGGATAAAAGTGATATTTTGATATTAGAGCCAAATTATACTTGAATGTAGAAATTAAATTGAAACATACGAACTATTATGAATTTGCATTGGTTATATTAAGATTAAACGACTAGTATAGAGATACTAGTCGGAAATGTTAGTTCGATGGTTCTTTGGAGGTAATCCCAAGATATTGAATTGTGGTGGGTAAGCTCTAAGGAACCTTAAAAGATATTTTTTAAGGTGGACTTTATGAACTCAAGTTACATTAGGAGTAGGCCTTAAGGGTTACTCAAAATGGATGGAGCCTAGACTAAGAAGTTGTTTAGGGATTAGATGACGTGACTATGAGCCGAGCTCTAGCACGTGGTAGTATGACTATGAGCCGAGCTCTAGCAAAAATGTAGTATGACTATGAGCCGAGCTCTAGCAAAAATGTAGTATGACTATGAGCCGAGCTCTAGCAAAAATGTAGTATGACTATGAGCCGAGCTCTAGCAAAATGTAGTGTGACTATGAGCCGAGCTCTAGCACAAATTTGTATGACTATGAGCCGAGCTCTAGCATGAAGGAACGTGAATTAATTATAAAATAATAAAACCCTAGATTGAGGGTCTTGGAAATTGAAACTTTGATTATACTTAGTATAGTTGTCATTGTACTTGTCAAATGCTTCCAAGTACTGACCTCCCCTTCACGGGGGGGCCACCTCACAGTTTCAGGTAGAACTTGAAGGTTGCTACCATCGTCGTTGCTTCGGGAGGATCCAAGGAGAGGAGACGTGGTTCGTGCTTCCTCTGTTTCTATTTTAAAAACATTTTAGTTAATGCTCATGGATATTATTTTTGAATATTTATCTGGGGGCGTGTATGCCCATGTTTGCCAAAGTGTGGCATGAACACTTGTATTAAATGCTTCCGTTGTTTGAAATGAATATTTTACATTATGTTTGTTTATGGATGTACTATGTGTGAATGATATTCCAGACGCCTTGTATAGTATGGATGTGTTGGGCTGCGGTTGACTATTCGTACTGTACGGCGGATTGTTGACGTGTCCGGGTAGGTCCGGGCGTGACAGATGTTGGTCTGATGAATTACTTTGGTGAACGAAAGTGGAAGCTCACCAAAGGATGTTTAGTCAAGACTCGAGGAAAGAAGGAAGAATCATTATATGTGATGCAAGCTAAGCTCTACAAAGGAGAGGTAAATATAACCACTGGTGAGGTATGGCATAAATGACTTGGCCACATCAGTGAGAAGGGTCTCCGCATGCATACTTGCTCAGAAACAACTCCTCCCGGACGTGAAAGGTAAGTCATTTGATCCTTGTGCACATTGTTTAGCTGGAAAACAACACAGGGTTGCTTTCCAAAGATCTTCTCCACCTACATACAAGGAGAAAGAATATACTCGGCCTTGTACACACCAATGTGTGCTCAATGTCTGAGAAATCCATTCGCGGTGCATTGTACTTTGTGGCATTCATTGACGATCATTCAAGGAAGGTATGGTTGCACAACTAAGCATTTCAGCTCAGCTGGTTGTGAGATTATTGTGCCTAGTGAAAGGTCTCGAGTTCGAAACCCGCTAGCCACATAAGGGTTTGAAACTGAATGAAGTGAGTTTCAGCCCTGATTACTCCAGGGCCCCATCCCTCTCCCCCAGACCCCCTGGAGTAAAAAAAAAGTATGGTTGCATATGCTAAAATCAAATGATCAAGTATTAGATGTTGTACTTGTAAATTGCCCTGGACTAAAAAAAAAGACTTTTTTCCACTTTTGGTCCCCAACTTTAGTGGGTGGGACAGTTTTAGTCCCCGTCTTTTATTTTTCCCAAATTTGATGCACAACTATGGAGTATTTCCCAGTTTTGGTCGTCCAGTTGATTCTTCCGGCCAATTACGTGCCATGTGATAAATTTAAGAGGTTAAAACAGTCCTTTCCTTCTACTCACACTCATCCCCGTTATTAATCGGAAAGCCTACCGCCTATACTATTGTTGTCCCTGTACACACAATTATGCAATTTTCAATATGGACTCTGGGGTCTCTACACAGACACCACTGTGCTTCTCAACGGTGGGGGGTTGGAAAAGTGGGAATGAGAAAATCTGAATCCAGTGGAAGCACACTTGCTAACTTTGGGGGTTCATAGTATAAGCTACCATACTTAACGTGTTACGTGTGTAATTAGCTTTGGGTTGGAATTTAAGGATTTAATATTACATGGCCGGACAAATTAATAAACAGGGATGGGTGTGAGTAGAAGGAAAGGACTGTTTTAACCTCTTAAATCAACCGGAGGACCAAAATTAGGAAATCTCTACAAACCTATAAGAGTGAATGAAGGTAAGGCTATTTTGGGTATCAAAAATTTGTTGGTGCAGTGTAACATCTAAGGATTCTAAGCTGTATACGAATGTACCATACGCTTAACACGTTATACTTACTCTATTTCGTTTATCTATTAAACAAACGTCTCCTCACTCCGTTAGTAATTCAACTTACTCTGCTCACGTCTTCCTTTACGTTCAAAAGCATGTGGTTCGCTACTTCCCTTACCCACCCGTACGTCTCAGCTGGATCATTGGCCGTTTGGCCCCCCAAGCGTTTCTCTCAAGGCTTTGTCTCCCTGTAAGTTATTTTTTTCCTTTGTTCTAATGGTCAATGACGATGGTGATGATGAAGATGGAAACTCGATCTAAACCTTCCGTTCATTTCAGCTCCTGTGAAGCACCAATTAAGCAAACTGGAGATTATTCTTTCAACTTTACTCATTTGAACCGTACGGTTTCATCATTTGGCAGAATTTCTTTTCCAGTGCTCAAGATAATTCTCCAACTCTGTTTAATATATTGTGACAATGTATTGCCAATTAGATCTGCCTTTCACATGATCGATGAAGTATTAGGCTCAAATTCCGTTTGGTATCTCGTTATGTTTTACTTCGTATATGTTTAGTTTGATAGCTATGTGTTTGACAAAATGTCCAGAAGACTCGCTATTAAATTCACCGGTCTTTTTACACGATATAATTTTCACCTCCTATATATGATATATCCTCATATATTTGCACCTTGTGGCAGGATGTTCTCCTTGGCTGAAAGCAAAAAATGTGCTCAAATTATTATTTTCAGAACTCACAAACTCAAAGATGGTTTTGATATGCAATTTAGAAAAAAATACCTCTTTTTTTAAAAAAAACCTCTTAAATGCACAAAACGTAGAATATATTTTAAATGGATTGAGATCTGCATAGCAAGTTGTTCTCCTTCAGTGTATTTAGACTTGGTTTTGTTTACCTTAATTTTTTTGTTAAAATTGGATTACTTCATACTTTTTTTGTGTTGAATTTGTTTTGATCTTCACGACTTCACTCCATTTAAACAAGCGAAGATGATGCCTTTCTAATCCTAACATAAACCACATAAGAGACAAGCCTTTAGGATAGAGAAGCCTTTTTCCTAGCTTAAAGTTGTAAACCAATAATTCCACTGCATTTAACAATTATTTTCAAAACAGCTCGGTCTCTTTGTGCACTTTAATCATAAACCAAATTAATTCCACTCCGAACCATTTAATCAAAAAACTAATATCCTATTTTAAACGGAAAATTTGAAAATAATAATCCCAACCATTGGCGGTTCGCCTACAATAATCCTAACTATTGATTATTTTTGTATAATCCCAACTATATGGACCGTCCGCCAATAATGGTCCTTGATCAGATTTAACTCCTATAAAAAAGTGAATTTTAAATAGAAATTAAGTGTAAAAATCAAAAGTTGAGATTATTTATAGGCATTATTGCTATATCTCTTCTCATCCACTTTAGAAACTACAAGAATTTATTTTTAGGGACCATTATTGGCGGAAGGTCCCTAAAGTTGGGATTATTCTGAAATAATCAATAATTGGGATTATTATAAACGGACCACCGATAGTTGGGATTATTCATATCAATTTTTCCATTTTAAAATAAAAGAAACATCATTCATTTTCATCGGTGACTCCGTCAAATGAAGCTTCAATTCCATGGTCATGTCTAATTTTGCATCAGGAGAATAGTGTTTTTTGGTGGAAAAGGAAAACCTCTAGGGATGGTTTGAAGCCGTAAATGAATAGAACATGTTTAAGTTAAGTAGGTTGTATGTCTACATCAGGTGTAAATGTGTAATGTTTGGTGTCTTAGTTTTTTTGTTCATAGCAATTGGCATAAGTAGTACTCCGTATGTAATTACTTAGTTTGAGTGTTAGAAAAACAAAACATCAGTGTCATCCATATAATAATTCGATTTCAATTGGTTCTAATAAGTAGCATCCAAATTTAAGTAATGAAAAACTACTATAAAGTACGGAGTACAAATTTTCACAAAACTTGAAGCAAGCTCAAAAACTATGATAGTTGTTTTTTGTCTATAAACAATTATGCTGGGAGCCATCTAATGATCGACTATTTCTTAACAAGTTAGAACTTGCATCTTATTGATACCGATACTAACTTTTCTTGTGATTTCCTCCATGGAGTGAACTTATAATAATCTAAATATGAATGACAAAATGTGTACAGAGAGTTTAATCTGTAAGTTTTTGTTTTATGTAAGACAACTTAGAAGTATTTGGAAATGAAAACCACTAACATGAAACCTATGGGGATGGGGCTATCTTTATATTTGTAGGGAAAAGGAAAATCTTTTGCTAATAACACCTATTGGCCAGAAGAAGAACTCCTTGGAAAGCATTTGTAATAAGCTAAGTAATTAAATGTGTGCCTCAAGGCATTACAATAAAAAGTCAAAGGTTGCATGTTTTCATGCCAATAAGATTCAATTCAATAGATAATAACTACTAGACATATTTTGGAAGTGTTTATTTTTTAAACAACATTGGGCATCTACACTGTCATGAAAACTAGTACTCCATAGTTGGGAAAAACAAAAGCGGAAAAAAGTCCTAAAAAAATCCAGTAACAACGCTAGTAAATGGCTCTGGTTTTCCATTGTAACAGCTTGACCAAGGTCAACGTGACGATTGAGCAGCGCGATATTGCATGCAGATGTTTTACTCTGTTTCATAGCATTTCCTGCGAGTGAAACTACGGAGTATATATAAATATCGCCGATATGAACCGTATTATGCCACTTCGGCGTTTCAGAGTGAAGCTTTGCAGTAGCTTCACTAACTTTCTGTTCTTGTTCCAACCCTAAGCCGGCCGTTCTGCATTTCCGGTTAATGTCGCGTATCATCTTCAACCTTTTAACAATCTGTTACTGATTCAGCTTCGTCTCTAAGATGTTCTGAATCTGAGCTCGTTCGGTTCTCTGTTTACAGATTCTGTTTATGCGAAATCAAGCACACATTGCCCGACATTGGTAATACCGCTCCTACTTTCAACCTCTCCGACTTCAATTCTTCTGTGTCGTTCTTAAATAGTGCTCACCGTTGTGCTTAGATATGGTCAATGTACATTTCTTAGGGCATCGATATAATTAATCTTGTGAATTTCTACTGATTTCAGTTCTAAAGGTTTTTCCTTTTCTCGCATAGATTCAGTTGTTTTCGTATACTCTCTTGCTGCAGATTCAGGAAAGTATAATTTGAGAGGTGGACGTTTGCGATTCAGATTTCTAATGAATTTAATCATTCAATTTTTTACTACAATTATTATGTCCATATGATTGCAGAAAAGCATTCATGGAAAATCTGTACAGCGGTCACAATGAACCAAAAACTCCGACTGTCAAGTATTTCGACAGCAATGTGATGCCGATCGGTATAGGCCGCTCCCGGTTTGACGTTCCGGTACCATTGAGTCCAGTTTTCGACCCCTACTTCTCGTCTGAAAGCCCTAATACACCGAATTCGATGTCTCCGTTCTACCGCCGGTCCGGCTCGTCTGTGCCGTTTGACTTAAGCGTTGGAAACGACGGCGGTGGCAGAGCAGGCGGATTTCGTTCGCCGCTGGCTTCGATTGAGAACCTGGTGACGCAGCCGTCGCGGTCACCGGTGACGATGTTCAAGACTCCGGTGAAAATCGAGGAGGACGTGATTGTCATGGACGGCATTCTCGTTAAACCGAAGGGCGGTAGTACCAGATCCAGGATGTCGCAGACGCCATCAGATTACGGTGATAAGAACAGCTTCTATAAGAGGGACAAGTGTTTGTTCTGGGAGGACTCTGGTTCTTGCCGCTTAGGTCCAAAATGCCAGGTTCATCTCTTGCCTTTCTTTGTGCGAATTTGACTTCAGGCCTTTGTATGTTTTAGTCATCTTGATCGCCACATTAAACTTCTGGTATTGAAATTTATCTAAAAAAATTCAACAGTTTGCGCATGGCCAGGAAGAATTGCGTCCAGCTCGTCTCACCACTAAAAGTAATAAATCTGAGGTGCTGAAGGAAATTACTGAATCCTTTCATTTTTACAATTGTGAAATTTCAAGATTCTAGAACAGTAGAACCTGTAATTGTATTTATCTGCGTATAAAATCCATGACAGATCTGCAAGTCATTCAACCTGGGAGCATGTTCATATGGCATCAAGTGCAGATATTTTCATCTTCAAGAGCCAGATAAGGAACCCGAGAAGGAGTCTGAAAAGGAGCCAGAGAAGGAGGTCATACCAGCAGTTCTATCCCCTGCAGCTGAAGCTAAAGTGGGCATCCCTATCACACCTACTGAATCCAAAGCACCAGCTAGTGGAGGGCAAAGCAGCACCTTTACAACTGGTTCTTCTGCTGCACAAACTTCTGGATGGCAAATCAGCACCTTTACAACTGGTTCTTCTGCTGCACAAACTTCTGGAGGGCAAAGCAGCACCCTTACAACTGGTTCTTCTGCTGCACAAACTTCTGGAGGGCAAAGCAGCACCTTTACTACTGGTTCTTCTGCTGCACAAACTTCTGGAGGGCAAAGCAGCACCTTTACCACTGGTTCTTCTGCTGCACAAACATCTGGAGGGCAAAGCAGCACCTTTACAACTGGTTCTTCTGCTGCACAAACTTCTGGATACACTGGCTGGTCTCCACATGATGATGGTATCAATATCTCCTTGCCTGCAAAAGCTCCAATAGAGGAAGATGTTGATGCTTATATTCAGCGTGTTCTCTATGGCCCTTCTGGTAAAAGATTGCCTGTTTTTGAGAAGATTTGCCTGGAGTAAGGAGATCTGTCCTCATCCTATCCTACATACTACAGGTAGTTCCTCTCTGCTGCACCAATTAACCACAATAAACGAGGAAAAGGCGCACAATTTTTTGCTAACAAACTGAAAGCTCATTATTCCAAAGAAGGTGAACACTATTTTTTGTCAAATTCAATGTGCATTATCTGTCTATATGAAATTTTGATTGATCTGGTATACATACAACCAGAAAATAATGCTGTAAAATAAAGTTCATCTGCATGATAAATGCATGTACAGTGGAATTTTAATCTGTTTCACCTTGATGCACTTTGTATGGTTGTGATCTTGATCTTTGAAGAATCTATTCATGTAATTGCTTATTTCCAGACTACTTAGCAGAAATAGGAATAATCAAGTTAAAGTTATAAGAAAAAAGATCATATGAACAAAGGGCATTCCAAGTTCATCTGTTTGGTAGAAAGGAATGAAATTGCTGAGAATATTTATTATGTTGTTAGTAAGCTTCCGTAGGGAGGCACAAAGAACCAATGATGAGGTTTAAGTCAAAAATGTCATGTGGGTCATGAGAATAACAGTGTCCCATTGTGTCTTAGCTTATTGATCCATCTGGTATTCTGGTGTGGAAAAGATAATATCAAGGGGCTTAGAATTGTTTTTTTGCGGCAGTGGAGATATATATTCCAAGTAAAAGTTTTTCTTATACCAAACTTTGCAAATTTCTCCAATTGGAATTGCATGTGTACCAAAATGTACTTTGTGTGAGACTCAAATCGAGGTTCTGCAAATTGTTTATTTACTGGTGCCACAAGAAGGTGATCCACACCTAATTTAATGTTTCAAATGGTGGATCATCAGATCCTTGTCATATATGAGAAGAGAATATCCTACCATTTTTGCAACTAGCAATGAGCATTATAAGCCCGTTTTGTAAGGATTAGTTTGGTTTAAAGGATACAGCTAAACGTATTGAATTAGTGAGAAAAATACTTCAAAGTTCAAACGAGTTTTCTTAAACATAAAAAAAATCACCGAATTTTTAGTGCAACATGAAGTTTTTTTTTTTTTTTTGCAACATACTCAAATTCCACGGTTGAGATTCAAAAGCTTTTTTTACTGCAGCATTTCTCATCTACAGGCTTCTTTTTATTTTTGATCAAAAAAATCTTGTCAAATGTTTTCCGGAGGTGTTCCTATAAGTTTTATGAAACTATGTTTTTAAGTGTCCTCACTAGTCACTAAAGCAGTGAAGAGTTATCTTTCAAATTGAGTTTTGATCGTGAATTATCTTTCAAATTGAGTTTTGATTGTGAATTAAGAAAGCGAGAATTTGTGTATTGAAGAGTTATGTGGAGGAGAGACGAATGTCTAAGAATGTTTAAGAAATGTTATGAATCACAAATTTTTTGCTTAAAAGGAAAAGATGAGATTATTTTGTGATGGACGGAAAAGGAAAGTTGGAGGATAATTCAGAGAAGGGGAGTATCATAATAATTCATGTACTTGTGTGTGTATTCCAACTTCCAAGTATGTATTAAGATAAGTTAACTTGCAGAGAGTGGCATATTTCATTTATATTTTAATGTACCCTCTCCATCTCGTATAATTTTACCAAAGTTAAGAGACATGTGAAATAATTAAATAAATAAACTATAAGGAAATGGGGCAACTAAAAAGAAAAAAAATGTCAAAATTATAAGGAACGGAGGATGTATTATATTTTGTTACACACAGGGTTATTGTGGGGGGCGTAGCTCACTTGGTAGCAAGAGGGTGCTACAGCCCACAAGGGATAGGTCATGGGTTCAACTCCGATCCAAGCAAAGACTTGGGATGAAACTTCAATCTCTTTTCATCAGTGGGTGATAAAAGCTCAATTTACATCTTCCCAGATAACTGTCCGATCAGTTTTGTGGGACCGCCAGGGATGGGGTGTCATCATTTTTTACACACGGCATTGATGTTTTTATTTGTACAGAATTTAGTCAGGTCATAGTAAATCAAACTTGACGAGATTTAAATCTATTAGATCATATCATATCACATTTAAATAAACTATATCAGATCATACTAAATTTCAATATACTAGAAGAGATGGGCCAAGACTCTATTTAACTTGGTGGTTTCGTTGAACTAATGAAGCCTGAAATGCTAAAATTGGGAGTGATTCAAGTGATTCACTTCTCGCACTTGCGACGCTCCCATCATGGGAGGTTTTGAGTTCGTGTCACCAAGGAGGTGAATTTGAGAGGGTTTACTCAAATTATGATTATCTAGCTTCTCAAGACTAGCTTGAGTGATCACGAAATTAAGGTTTTGTCTCATTTAAGTGAGGAATCACCTTTAACGGATTGATTGCACGTGTTCTAAGATTTCGATTTCAACATTCAAGAGAACCGCCAATGGTCAAATTGAGTTGCGTTCTTGGAAGCTCAAGACTAAAATTGAAATACTAAAATTGAAGCCACTAACGTAAGTGTTTTTTAGTTTTTACCTTGTTTTTTAGTTCTTATTTTCTACTTATAAATCTTATGAATCATTACTAAATTGGAACTTTTGATTTCTTATGTTAAATTGTGTAATAATAATAAACACTTACGACATGTTTACTAACAAAGAAATTTTCCACTTTTCTTTTCTCTTCCCCGTTCTTCAATTTTCTGTTTCCATTTTCCAATTTTTCTATTTCCAATTTTCTGTTTCCATTTTCTAGTTTTCTATTTTCAAATCTGAAAACATGTTCATCAATTTTTTTCACCCGATTTTGTGATCCACCGGAAGACCAATAGTACGATCCGGTCCAGAACCAAACCTAGTACATCCCAAGTAGGGTAATTGGTCCCGCGTATAGGAAAGTTGGTACCGAAACTGGTTGGTCTTGATCGGTCCCAACGGCTAGTTTGACTAAGGGAGTGTTTGCAACTACTTAAAAAAGCACTTTTGGAGATGTAAGGAAAAAATGATTAGTAGTAAAAGTTGATAGTGTTTGAGAAAAAAGTGATTTTGAAAAGTAAAAGTTGGTAGTGTTTGGTAAAATAAGTGTTTTTTGTGTAATAGAAAAGGGAAAAGTACTTTTCACACGCAAGCCGAGAAAAAGTAAAAATTGGTACTATTTGGTAAATAAGTGTTTTTTAAGCCAAAACTGAGAAGTGCTTTTTTTTAAGTTGTTGCAAACACTTCCTAATTCTTTTCCATTTTCCCTATTGGTTGGTAACTCAATAACTCTTTTGAAACTCTTCACTTTACAAAATAATTTAAAAAATGTGGACAGAATCATCAGGTCATCGACCAGACTGGACAGGGACCGCTGGATCGTTGACAGGACCGGTCTGGAACCCGCCCAATCATCCACGGGACCGAATAGAGATCGTCGAGTTGTTGACTAGACAAGACGAAGACCGCCAATTCATTGACCAGACCGGATAGAAACCGCCAGGTTGTTGATCAGACAGAGACCGTCGAGTCATTGACCGGACCGGATCGAACCAGAACTACTCGTCCGTCGATCGGACCAGAGAGGCAGTGCATAGTCATTGATTGGATCGGACAGGGACCGTTAGGATGTCGACCAGACGGGACATGGAACGTCGATCATTGACTGGGCCAGACAAGGACCACCGGGTCGTTGACGGTTGACCTAACCAAATAGGGATCGTCGGATCGTTAATCGGACCGAACTGGGATTGCGGTGTCTTTGACCAAACCGGATCTGGACTGCCTAGACGTCAACCGTACTGGACAGGTACTGCCGCATCATTGAACGGACCGAATAGGAATCATTGGGTCGTTGACTGAACAGGACAGTGACCATCAGGTCATTGACCAGACTGGGCCGCTTGGTCTTAGAAAACAGTTTGATAAACATATTTTTTGTGTTCCTTTCTCCAGTTTTTCAAAATTTTTTCGATAAACATGTTTTCTGTTTTCCTTTTTCAAGTTTTAAAACTGGAAAATATCTCTTTTAATAAACAAACTCTTAACCTTTCTAGCTAAATTGGTTGAAGTTACTGTAGCAAGCTATTTTAACTATTTTCAAATATTTTTTTCTTTTTTATTAATAAAATATACTATCGGCAATTTAATAAATTTTATTGAATTATATTTTAAATATAATAAATATTTTAAATATTTTAATAGACTCGGTCAATTCAACCACTTCAATCAGAACTTCAACAGATTAAGCCGCTTCAATTAGAACTTCATCGACTTGAACAGATTCAACCGATTCACCTAATTTAACTATTACATTGTTACCAAACAGGCTTATACATTTTATTTTCCTAGCCCCTAATATCAAACTTATGTCTCTTATGATATTAGTCTTGTAGGTTTACTTGCAGTCCATGTCATGCAAGTCATTAAATAATTTTCTTGGATGTACATATACTAGCAAATACATCCTCAGAAATTATGGCTAAAATGAAACATATTAGTGCAGATCTTATTTTTTCTTCAAGATTCTATCTTTTGAAGATCTGAAACATATACTCCATAAAAATGTGCAAGGGCGTGTTAGAAAAGTGGATAAAATGTTGAACAATTATTTAATCATCTCCTTAGTCTGCATGAAAGTCAAAATCATGCCTTACATGAGTACACAGGAAGAGAAGTATTCTTTCGATCGCCGTTTCTAACCAGATTGTTGAAACACGTGTCTCTTTGATCTATAGCATAGTTCTCAGTTCGTATTAACGGTGTCCCCCAAATAAATGTAAAAAATGCTTTCGGTAAGATTTTTACATGTTTCAATCAAATTATAGGATAAACCAACCAATGATGTATTCCCAGCTGTCAAACTCCTTACCTCAAGAGTGGAAACTGATCAATGCTGAAAAAGTAACTTCCTACTAACAAAAACGATCCAAGTCCACTGCGTGCCATTCGCAGGGAAATACCCCGAAAAAGCAAACATCTATCTGCTGGGTGGATACCGGTCCATCTCTCAAATCGCTTCCCCGGAAGTTGCCATTTGAGAAATTTTCTCTCCTTTGATAAATACTGCATAAAAAATCATCCAGAAAGGAAATAAAGCATGAGAGATTTTGTTAACTCAGACAATCAAATCCACCTGGGATAAAATAGCACATGGTCAGACACGCATATACATATAAAATTGGTTACTTTGATTCTTTTTTGGTAATGCCCACATGAGGTATCCATATAAGTTTTATAGTAAAAGTTCTACACTTGAAAAAATGTTTCTTAACTAACTTGGGGTAGGTCATCGTCAGGCATGGCCCACCCTAGCTACCACAAATGGTCGTTACCAAAAAAAAAGAATCAACAAACTATAAACTGTGAATTAGGGCCTGTTTAGTGACTGGTAAAATTGCATTCATGACTGACGTATAAGTGTTGGTAAACAGTCTGTCTGAAATGGTTGGAATGAATAATTATCCAGAGTGGAATGTCCTAAAAGGATATGTAATAGTAGTTTCGATTAATGTGTAAAAAGTAAAAACAAAGAGCAGCGTTTGGGCAAATGTGTCTTTAAATAAGACAAATAAGGCATAATTATGTTGGGTGTTTTTTCAGCAAAATCAGGCTGATCAGCCAAAGATAATCATGTCCAGCCACAATATATGCTAAGAGAAGAAATATTAGCTTACCAGCAGAATGCAGTACATGCTCACCAAATGGAGCAGCCAATATATATGTTATATCACGATTAAAGCAATTATAATTGAACCAATGATTTTCACATAGCAAGATAGGCACAACGCAAGAAAATCATCACTTTTATTTTATTTTTTCAGCAGAGAACACACCTTAGGCACCACAGTGCACTGCGAACGACTTTTTGCAGTATCAAGTGAATGCGAGGCAGCGGCAGCAATTGAACCAGAAAATCCAGCCGCAAGACTAACATAGAAAGGAGATAATGGGCCAACTTCATCATCGTGCCTGGAAAAAAATAGATGTTTACCACAATTATATACGGACTAGAAAATAAGAAATAAAACGCATTCTGTACTCTTTCTGTTACAATTGCAGTTAAGAAAACTTGAGATTAGTTTTCTGTGCCTTGATATTGACATGTTTTTCACATGATAATTTTCTCAACATTACTGGCTGTAATAAATAAATTAATTAATCAATCAATCAATAAATAAATAAATAAATAAATAAATAACCTGGGTATGGGAGTCATCCCAACAGCTTTCCAAGTAAGCATTGCTTCGTGTAGGAGTTGCCAAATCGAAAAGAATATGCCACTGAAAACAGAATCTCGAACAATACCTGACCTTAACCCTTTCCACAAAGTATGCCATCCTTCAAGAGAGATTACCTGTGATGGCCGTTTAACATGATAAACAGAGGGAGGTCTTCCACACCCAGTCATCATCCATGGATATTGTCTCATGTCCTTTACTAAATTGGGATGTTTGTCACTCAAAATAGATAGAAGGCCAACAGAATTGTTCAAGACCTTGGTATCCGGGAAATATCCATGAAGTAATCTCCCAATCAATGGAGAAACATCATTAGCTTTTATGTTTGATGCAGTTTGTGGAATCTGAAATGCAGAAGACACCTGAGCACGGAGTTTAATAAGTTCAAACGGGGAGGTTAGTAGTGACTCTACTGCCCCAGCAGCAATTCCTGCCATTAAAGCCTCAGAGACTGACACGTAATTGTCCTTCTGACCATCTGATTCAATAGTATGTAGAGTAAACACGATATGCTAAGATTAATATTGAAACACATCACAATATGTTATCAGATAAACATTAAATACAGCAATAAATTCGATATGCATTTGCAAAACATTCATTTTGCAATTCTGTTTCAAAAGGAACTTATAACCCATCATCTTCGGTCCGGTTTTTGGATCTTAAAGAAATGCACGCAAACTTTTTTCAGGTTTTAATTTAGGGATTCGGTTGAGCACACTTTACTATGAAAGAAACCACTGCAAGTATCTCAACCAGTGATAATCAATCAATGAGCCTCCAAAGTCGTGCTTCACTAGAGGTAAGATATCAATTGACTCGATGAACTAGACAGACATATGATCATACAGAGAAAGAAGAGCATAATACCTTTGTAGAATGAGGTCAATAGTTCATAAATGGCAAAACGAGTACCAGCACCAAATGTTCTTCCCACTGTAAACCACCCTAGACCACTGTACAAACCTACAATGTTCACCAAACACAGGCCACATTATCCAGAGCTTTGGCACACAAACAAAAAAAGAGATGGGGTTATTCATGTGTATATAACTCTGTATCATGTAAAATTGGAGATTGATGGAGTTACCTAAACTTCCCGATAAAGTCTTAACCCTGTAAAGAACTTGAGAAGAGGTCAATTTCTTGTTGGGGTTTGAACCTACCTGTGTTCCATGGAACCAGCACATCAACAATATCAAGAACAAGACATACAAAAAATGTAATATTCAGTATTGAAAGAGGAATGACTCTAATTTCAAACCTGTAAAAGGACTTTAAGAGTATCAAGTGGGTAAATCAAAGCACTGCTGAATACAGCAGACCATGCACCAGCGACGATATGAGTTGCAAATGTGTGATCATTGAGCATGTCTTTCATCTTAAAAGGTAGAAAAGATTTAAATACAGAAGATCAAATACGGAAGAATAGTAAAAAAAAAAGTATAGCATAAAATTAACAAATAAAAATCTATGAAGCTCATAAAAACCAGAAAGCAATCAGCTAAACATATAGCTAAACATTGGGGCAAGTTATTAATACCTTGAAAAATCAGTAACATGCGTATAAAAATTCAGTATAAAATAGGGAAATAGACCTAAATATGACTAAAACAAAAGCTGGGAATGTATAGGACCAAATTTTAAGTTGATGGACAAATATACCCTCAAGTTTTAAGAAGGGATGAGCGACGCCCCTGTCCGATAAACGGCTACATCCCCGAGAAGGAGCACACGACCTGACCGCTTTCTTTTGAGTCGGGTCGCCCCGGTAATATGAGATTCCAAAATTTGGGCTTTTTTTTCTGTCGGTATGGGTGCTCGTCCGCCAAAAAAGGAAGTTCTCCGGTCACGATTACACCGCTTCCTTTGCAGACTAGGACATAGGAGCTGAGAGTGATGGATCGGTCGACGTGGGGGAGACTGGCTGCGCCGCGACAGATGCGGAGGGGCGAATTTGTACGGAAACGAGAGGCGTGGGAACGAGGTCACGCCTGGCTGGCGGCGCTACGATGCCGGTGGAGATCGAAGCGAGGGGTTAGCGCGGTTGAATACACATCGCTAGGAAGCTTAATCCCGTTACTGTGACCACCGTTCCAGAGGGCTACACACTACTCCAGCCGCAGATCCGGCAGAGGTGGAGGGCTGCACTACTCCAACCATCGTTAGCGTCGACGGAATTGTAAGAATGTTTTGAATGGTTTTTTTGTAATATCGTATAACTTTCAGTCCAATTGTTTATTCTCTTCGGCAGCCTTATTTAGGGATGGTTTACTTTTTTTTATTAAGTCCTGTCTGGATTAAGATGTCTATATGGATTAAGAGACACTATGATAACAAACTGTTTACTTTGTGTACTGAATGAAAAGTCTGAATAATGTCAAATGACCAATTTACTGTGAAAAAATGCAAAGATGGGCACCCAAATATGCAGAAAATGCTAAAATATACCCAGATAACCTGTCGTTTGTCGATATATTCAGGAACAAAGTGTTGTTTTTGCTGAAAACATTTGTCGAAGATGCATGCAAAAATAGTGCCCAATTGTGCAAAAATTACGTAGCATAAATTCATGCCTAAATAGAGAAATTGATATTCGAAGTCATACAAATCATGAGATAAATTCCAAAACTCATGCCCTACAAAAATGTAAAAATATGAAATCATGAGATTATACTTCGATGATGATGATGATGTAAGCATGGACTCGGTTCGGGCCGGGCCCGGTTCGGGCCTTGAACCGGCCGGGCCTCGGTTCAAGGTTTCGGAGGCCCGGAACCGGTCCGGGTAACCCCGGGTCCGGTTCGGGCCGGGCCACCCGCCCGGTTCACGGGCCGGGCCTTTTAATTTTTTTTTTAAATTATATATTATATTATTATAATAATTGTTATTCAAAACAAAATTCAAGTGCATTTATTTGAAATAGGAAGTACATTTGAGAATTGAGGAAAAAATAACAATATGAAATACATTTTCGAATAAATATCAATTGGGATTTCCGCCACCGTTGGTTGTTGTTTTACCTTTGTCACATGACTTCATATGTTTTATTGGCATCCCGACTCCGTGTGAACGCCCCAAGCAACACTCTTTCTTGCACCACTTGCAAGTTGCCCACCCCAGTCCGGTCTTCGGGTCCTTCCACTTATCAAAGTTGTTTTGCATAACAGAAGAATTACTTTCCATCTTTAAATGTATAAGTAGAAATGTAAGATAATAACTTAATAAGAGAAGATGAAGATGGAGAAGAGTTGGAGAAGAGATGTAGAAAATGGTAGAAAATAGATGTATTTATAGATTTTTTTGAACCCCACCCCCACCCCACCACCCCCGGGACCCCCCTGCCCCCCACCCTAAGCCCCAACGGCTATAAAGCCGTTTGGGAGCAATCTCCCACTTCAAAATGTTTTAAATTTTTTTTTTTGAAAATTATACATATTGTGTATAATTTACTTAGAAAAGTGATTTGATTTAGAAAAGTGTAAGGAAAGTGATATGATTTTGTTGAGGTTTATTCCTTCAACCCCCGGGTCCAACACGTAAGCCCAAGGATTTCGAATGGAGTGTGTGTGATTGAACTAGCCCAACAAGCAGATGATATGGATTAGAAAAGCAGTAAGATAGCAAGTAAATGATTAGGTATTATTATCTCTTAATAACTCCCTAATACAATACTTTTCGCTAAGGCTCCGTCGGCCGTTCGTCTTACAAGGCAGCAGAAGTGCTGCGAGTAAGAATGCTATAGCTAGAGTGCTAAGAATAGAAAGTTGCCAACCCTTTACAATGAAATAAATGCTTCTATTTATACCCGCCAATGGGCAGGTGGCTATGCTGACGTGGAGGCCTGTGGACCGCTTGTGCCCCAACCACCAAATCTTCAGCATTAAATGCACTTCCCGCCAGAATCTAGGTTTCCCGCCTAAATAATGGGGACGTTCGTCCGCCTGGGAAGCGAGCTGGATCGTTCCAAGTGATCCTCAAGAGGTTTCGGCTGTTCGTCTCCTGGCCTTTGGATTCTCTCCATGTGGACTGGATTTCCCCGGATGACTATAGGCTTGCCATGGGGACGTCCGTCGTCATCCCCTGGTCCCTGCATAGACGTTCGTCGGGATGGGCCGCTGGGCCTGAACTCCCAACCCCAGACGTTCGTCCCTTTCCAAGGAATATGGGCCTGCGGGCTGGCCCTGTGGTCTGACTGGACGTACGTCTGGTGAAGGAAGGGTTAGTGGGCCGGACCCCGGCTTGGGCCCTTAACCCAACACAAGTCCCCCACTTCTGATGTTCTGAGCATGCGCAGGACATAAGGAAGTATGAATCTCCTCAAAGTAGACGTTCGTGTCTTGATACTTGTGTTTATCGCATCCGGTGGAAGCGTACGCTCGTGGTCATGGTGCTTAACAGCTGTCGACGGTTCAGGAAACGAGGTGACGGCTGCTGTAGCGGCGGTGCATTTTCCGAGGAGATGTCATCATTACGCTTTCGCCCCACGCACGGCGCGTGAGCCGGAATACGCTCCCTGCCACGCGTCAGCCTCCCGTTGGCTCCCCCACCGGTGTTTCTCCTATAAATGCCGGTTTTCCCCTCTGGATTAGGGTTCCCAATTTCCGCTCTCTTGTCTTCGAATTTCCGCAGCTCTTCAAGTCTTCTCCTGCTTCGTAGCTCGGCTAATCCCTCTAAGGTAACTTTCATCTTCTGCTTCTTTTTCTTGTCTTGAATTCTTGCCGCGATGGTTTCGATGGAGATCTCGTCAAGTTCTGGCTCAGGCTCATCGGGTTCCTCCTCGGGCTCCACTTCCGACTCCGGCTCACGCTCTTCGGGGGAAACTAGCACTTCCGGTAGTTCTGGCTCGGCCCCCACCGTGGGAACTGTTCAGGCCGGGGAAGCCCAAACTGGTGTTGTTGCGACTGTCCCTGGTGAGGAGGGTGCTGATTCGGGGGAGCAAAACAGTATGGCTCTCGAAGTGGTGGACCCCGTGGCTGAAGGCGGGGAACAGGAGTCCGTTAGCGAGGACGGTCGTCCGGACGGGTATGACTCCGGGGTCGAGGCGCAGGATGGCTCCGACATCGAGGTATTTGAACTTGGGCTAAAGATAGATGTGGAGAGGCATCTATGCCCAATCAAGAACGTCCTCTGCCACGAGCAGATCTTCTCGCAGGTGGCCCTCAACAAACTGAAGGTGTTCTTCCCCCCTCCGTCCGTATATAGCCTTCGTGGCGCAACCCACGTGATGAGGAGACGCCCAGGAATGGTTATGGTGCTTCTGGACTCCATCGAGGCTGGGCTGCGCTTCCCTCTTCATCCGTTCTTCGTGGAATTCTTCTGTTGTTACCAGATAGCCCCCGCACAACTCATGCCGAATTCCTATCGGTTCGTCTCCGCCTTCCTAGTCCGTTGCAAGGACAATGGGGTCACCGCCACTTTGGACTTGTTCCATTACTTCTACCGGCTCACCCCCCAAAATTCCGACGGTTTGCTGAGCATTGCAGCTCGTCCGAAACGGAGGCTGTTCAGCGGAGCACCGAGTTCCATCCATGACTGGAAGAATCGGTTCTTCTTCGTGCGGTATGCGGATGCTCGTCTGCCATTGCGTTGGAACGGCTATCCGCCCAAGATAGGATCTCCGGAGCTGACCGACGATCTGGAGGAGGATATTAGAAAGATCTCGACGGGCGGCATCCGGCCCTTAGATGACTTCCTAACTTTCGAGGCACTCGCCGCGGCAGGAATAGGTACCGCCCATGCTCTCGGACATCTCCCCTTCTACGCTCGTCTCGGGGTACTGGGCGGTCCTGACCTCCGAGGTGAGTTATTCCTGACGCTCGTCCATCTAACACATTTCCCATCTTTCTTTCAGGTCTTCCCCCAACCCAGGAACAGATGAATCACGAGAAGCTCCTCAAGAATCGGAAGGGAAAGAGTGTCGCGGCCGATGCTGCCCTTGCCAAGGCCAAGGCCGCCCAAGTAGCAGATTCTAATTCTTCCGCCTCTCAGGCCGATCGTCGCACGGTGGAGGCGGAGCAGCATCTCATTGCCACGGTGATGGCACAGGGGTCCCAGGCCCCCATCCTCAACCCTGTCGTCCCCGAAGTCGTGGCGCCCCTACAGGTCGTTCATCCGCATGAAGGGGAGAAGGCGAAGGACAAGAAGTCCAAAAGGCCTCGGGGGGCTTCCTCTTCGGCCCCCGAAGAGCAAGGGCTGATCCTCCCTTCCCTTGGGCGTCCGGCCCATGACGTCTGGCAGGAAATTGCCTCTCTGGTTGGCGTGGAAATGCCTTCCCGGACGTCTTCAGAGGCCTCCAATGCGGTTCTGGCCGCCGCTCTTCAGGTGAGACTTGACCCTAAACGAACGGTAGATTTCCATATTCCGTTGGTTTGAAGTCTCATCCTCTGTATCTCTTTTGTAGGTTGGGCTCTCTACCCTGCAGGCTGAGGCTGCTCGGGATGCCGATGCCCTTCAGGCAAAAAATAAGGCAGATGCGGCCTTGAAGAAGGCGAGGGAGGCCGCTCGTCTCCAGGAGAAAGAGCTGGCGGCCAAGGACAAAGAACTGCAGGCCGCCCTGAAGGTAGCCCGCGAGTCCTCCGCGAAGCTCGCGGTTCTGGAGAAGGCCGGGTTCAAGCTCGTCCCAGCTCTCCCTGCTCCCAAGGACGAGGCCCCTGAATGGCTCGTCGATGAGACCGGGTATCACAACTCTGGGGCCTTCATGATTGCCGCCCAGAAGTACCTTGGGGGCGCCTTTGGCGATGTATTCGCCGCCGAGCTGCAGAAACAGGCGCCGAAGGACCGCCTCAAATTCGGGGTCCGAATCCTGGAGAGTGCGCCCCTTGCCGAGAAGTTTTTGTATGATGTTGGGGATAGCTCCTTCGTCATCGGCTACAACGAGGGGGTAAAGGCCACACTGCCGGTCTTCGCCGCTCTTCAGGGGCCCAGTTTTGATCTGGCCGAGCATACCTCAGATCCGGAGCTGATCCGGGTGGTGGGCAAGTTGAAACGGGATGCCCGGCGGGAGGAGGCCAGAGCCAGAGGGGAGGCCCCGGAGCCCCCGTCCCCCGAGCCCGAGCCCGAGCCCGAGGAGGAAGAAGAAACCATCCCTGGGGGATCCCGGCCTGTTTCTCCAAATTTTGTGTAATGTAGCTTGTAGTTTCCTTGTTTTGATCCTGTACTTATCCGGCCAGTAGAGCCGAGGAATACACAACTCTTTTGCTCTATCATTGTTTCTACGTTCATGAACTCTTCCT